AAAAAGAGCTTTTAGATATTGGTGTCAAATATCTCCTGCCAAGGAGACATCTTGTCCCCCAATCGATGATGTATTAGATATTAAATGATAACTCTTAATGCATTTCTCCTTACTATTCCTGATCCAGCCCCAAAACAGATGCTCCTACAACAGCGGATAGTGCAAAAGCCATCAAAGACCTTTTGTAGCTATATTTCTTGTATGAAAAATGGGATGAATAGAAATACTGAGGAAAGTCCCCGTAAAGCAAGGGGATTCTGCTGTACTCAGAAGCTTAAGTTTATCTGGGCCTGATTCATGTTTACATTTACACCGTTCTGGCTATGTAAAGGGGTCTAAGTTACACTCACTTTAAAGTGTACACACCTTTACACTGCCTTACTGCAAATGTGGATCAGGCCCTCTGTCCTTAACGGCAATATAAGTGAGGTTACTAGATGGCTCAAAGGAACGGTAATGGAACATAGTGATAGCTAGGTCACTGCTTCAAATACAGCTCAGGTCAACGGTGACAGAACATTATTACCATCCAAGAGCCATGTTGGGGCCTATGTGAAATGATTCAGCGTGTTGGTGTCAACCTCACAGAACAGTCCCCACACTTGGTATTAGCTGACAGGCCCAGCTGAGGGGCCAAGGACTAAGTGAGCCATGGAGACTGAACAACCTCATCCTGCCAGGGAGTCAGGACTGAGCCAAGTTGGCAGGGATGGAGTGGTGGCAAGCCTGGTTCGCCACAGCTCATATTGTAGCTGTTCTACAGATAGCTAGAGGGCTTCTGTTTCCAGGGCTGTCACCAGCACTAAATTCACTCAATAGCTCTGCGTATAAAAATGTACAGTAAATCAAACCCATCCCATTGAAGCTTTCTTGCTAAATCAGAGAGAAAACATTTGCTGCTTAGCCTCCAAGTTACCTCTGGAGCTCCCTCTGGAATGAGATGGAGCAGTTCACTGCATGCCAGAGTCCTTTTCTTGTCACTGGGTAGAAGAGGCGACTCTTCAGACGAACTCTCCTCTCCTCTTCCCTGACCCGACTGGATCACTGTTTCCATAGTGACACAGAACTGGTCCAGATTGTGCCTCAGGGCTGACTGAAAAACACAAGGAGAGGTCTTGGGATCTCCAAAGGTGGGCAGCATTGTCTTTCTGCCTTTCCTCTCTGAGTAGCTGGCAAGGATAATTTATAAGGTCTGCTGCTGCACAGTTATCAACAATTATCCACCCAGGAAAGAAGGGCATGAAAAAGATGTACGTTTGGCAGGATTCGATTTTTATCGGTGAATGTCAGTAATGTCAACTTAACTGCAGGCACACACACACACACACACACACAAACCAATGAAAAACTATTTCCATCAATATTAATAGAAATTTACTAATAGGCAAAGTACAGAAAATGCTGCTGGAGAATTACTGTCTGATTTAAGGATATTTACTTCCTATGTTTTGACATACAATGTTGACAATTAATGTTTTAACAGTCATCAAAGCTTTAACTTTTTGTATCTCAAGACCTCCTGTCCTTAAATAATTATTGTCTGACTCCAGCCTACTGTATTGTCTGGCACCCGCCCCCACAATTTTCTGCAAATGTGAACATTTAAATTAATAGACCTCGAAAAAGTGCTTAAAAATAAACATCAATATTATCTGTCAAAATTATTTTAAAAAATAAACATCAAATTCTGCCCAGCCTAAAAATAGGTTAGAACCACCCACACTGCTTTGAGCTAGGAACTGCATTTCATCAGGTGGTGCATCTAACACATGCTGTGCGTCCAGCATAGAATTTAACCTCCCTGCAGGAGGGACTAGGTCTATGGGTACGTCTTCACTTACCGGAGGGTCCGGCGGCAGGCAATCGATGTTCTGGGATCGATTTATCGCGTCTGGTTAAGACGCAATAAATCAATCCCGGATCGATCCCGGATCTGCTCGCCGTCGACGCCGGTACTCCAGCTCGCCGAGAGGAGTACGCGGCATCGACGGGGGAGCCTTCCTGCCGTGTCTGGACCCGCGGTAAGTTCGGACTAAGGTACTTCGAATTCAGCTACGTTATTAACGTAGCTGAATTTGCGTACCTTAGTCCGAAGTGGGGGCTTAGTGGGGACCAGGCCTATGTCTTGTACAGCACCCAGGATTACAGATCAGGTTGTAAACCTCCTACTCACATTGGTCAGCAGTATCTCACACAAGTAAACCCAGTCATTTCAGCTATGTTACTTGTGTGACTAACTGCGCACCCTCAAGACATTCACAGTCCAGCCCTAAGCAAATAATAAAAAATAATGCTTTTGTCTGAAACGTGGGATGCCTGTTAGGTTGTTCAGTTTGCTTGTCACATTCCGCCCATTGCTGCATCCAACACTTCTCCAGTGGGACTTCTTCAGATTTCAGAGGATTACAGGAGTGGGGATTTGAAACGCACACTGGGACTTGGGCTCCTAACCAGCAATGACACTCCAGTGTGGAATTTACATATTCATGCACATCCTAGAGGAAAAGAGCTAGAGTAGTTTTTGAAGGGATTCGATTATATAACCTCAGTCAAACAGAATCGTCTCTTACTCCTTGAGCTGTCCCATTGATTTCAGTCGCACGGCTCAGGAAGTTAGGTACTATGCAGTGTGAGTGAGGGTATCAAAATCTGGCCCTGATTCTTGTTCATTTTCTTTCATTACATTTTTACGTTTCATTATCATGGGACAGATTTTGAGAAACGCGGGCACCCAATTGCACATGTGAACTGGACACGTATGCATACAATTGATTTGTGATATGCCTTTCTAACAATCTGGCCCTAGATGAAGAAATTTACAACAGGGCCTGATCACAAGGAAATTCAAACAGGCGATCCTTTTTATTTTTATTAGATTCACTTTCAGATCAACACACAGAGCTCAATTCGCCACCACACTTTGTGCTGTTCCAGTGATGCACAGCAGCCACAAACCCAGCTCAGCTGGCTGGTGAAGCCATGTTTCTGGCTGTTTTGTGTAACTAGCGTGGGGTAAGACAACCAGAGTATACTTGGGAACCTGACCCATGCACTATACCCCTCATTTCTTCCGAATCCTAGAGGTTGTATGTAGCACAGTCAGCTCGGATTGCTCCAAGCATCGTTTACCTCGTGGTTTCTCTTCCGTTCTGTAATATAGCCTGCTAAGGAGTGACGACACTGCTCCAGGTTGAAATGGACAAAGCAAAGCTGATGATGGTGGGGAATGTTAAGGAAGGAACATTTTATAGGACAGACACCAATACAATTCCTTAATGCTCCATCTAGCAACGTATCTATCTGTACCCACTGCCTGCCAGTTTGGGGACTTCGGAGACAAGACACAGCTTCCACAGGCAAAGATTGGGACGGCCTATCTGCTTGTGCTGGAGGGACACACCTAGGAACTGGACTGGCATGCCGGGGTGACCAACTCCTGGCCCCAAAGAGCCGGCGCTGGGCTGGCCCCTGTGAAGCTCACTCTGAGGGGTCAAGTGACCAGGGAGGGAAAGCTACAGGGGAAGGAGGCTGGTTGTTGCTCTCTACAGTCACAGAAGAGGCAGCCATTTTGACTGACCCGGTCAGATGGCTGGAGGCCAAACCAGAGCCTTCCCTCCACAATGGTGAGTTTGGGCCCCAAAAAGCTACATCCATGAGGGCTGAAAAACCAGTGGTGCCTGTAGGCCCTGCTGCACTGGGAGCCAGGGGTCGGCCAGGTCTCATTACTGCCCAGGATGCTATCCAGCTGGACAGGAGAGTGGTTGGATGCATAGACAGGGATACCAGCCCTACAACCTGAGCTCCAGCCCCACTGCCCTGGTCAGGTCTGTGCGGAGACTATGGTGGGGGTATTTCTTGTCTGGGGGTTTTAGTGGTTGTTCTGGGAGGGCTGGGGCCTTATTTATTTATTTTCTCTGAGACCTTCACCTGTTCCCCTCCCCTTCTTTTAAATGACCTCTGTCTGGTCCAGGGAATAGACTGTGGTTTATTTTTACGTAGTCCTTGATTTTCTGTACTTGTGACCTAATAACCCGGACGTTGCTGGTTTTGTGCTCCCAGCCACTAGATTGAGGCCCCAGTCACTAAGAAACCAGGACCCACTGATGCTTGTGGGTGGTGGCCCCGGAGTCCCTGAGGAGGGAAAAATGAGGTGCTCCACCAATTTTGGGGATTGCGGGGGGTACACATCTATAGTCTTGCTTTGCATGATCAAGGGAATTCCAAAGCAATATGAAAGCTGAGAAAAGATATAGTCAAACACTGGAGTAAGACGGACAAAAATATACATCCTTGGGCCTAGTTCTGCTCTCTGACAAGCCCAGCACACATGCACAGAGCCGGAGCCTATTCCATTAGCCATCTTGATTAGTTAGAGGTGTAGCCAGGTTTGTCCAAACATCTAGTTCAAGTTCTCAAGTGTGTCACCCTCACCTTCAAGACTTTGCATAACTCCCCTCCTGCTTGCATCTCTCCTAATTTCTTCCTCCTCCCCTCTCAGCTCTTGGTTTCCTTTCCATTTCTAATCATTGTGCCTTCTCCCATGCTGCCTCTTATGCTTGGGGGGGCGGGGAGTCTTTGTTTTCTTGTCCCCTTCTTCAACCCCCTTCTTCAACTGCACATCTTCCAAGCTCTTGTGCGATAATCCACAAAAGTTCTCTTTAAAAAGTAGGGTCTGAGACTTACTTTCGTTTGGTCCTCTGGGCCTAAATTTTTAGAAGTACCTACTAATTTGGTGTCCCTCTATGTTGGGGGCAGGGGGACAATTTGAGACGTTTTAAAGAGGCCCGATTTTCTGAAAGCACTGAGCACTCATCCTCTTAAAATCAGGCCCCTTTAAAGTGTCTAAGTAGGGCATGCAGAGTCAGGAGGCACTTGTGAAAATGGTGTATTAGGTGCCTTAATGAGTTTGTCTTCGCAACATAGAGTGTAAGCTCTAGGGGCAGGGACCACATGTTCCTTTATATTTGTACAGCCCTGAGCTCACTACTGGCACTCAACAAATAATAAAGAAGCCCATTGAACTCAGTTGGAGTCATTGTCTTCAGTGGGTCAGGCCCCAGATATGAAAAAAAAAACTCTGGAGAGTCTCTTTGATGAGAAGATTGATGATAAATACCTCCATATCTGCAGGCACCAGCAATGAGGGGAAATTGTCTCACCCAGAAAGGATACCTGTAGAATGTTCTGGTGTCTGTCCATGGCATCTGCAACCCCCAGAAGTAAGTTGTGCTTCATGAAGACTTCATTGGCAGCTGCCAGCCTCACATCAGTATTCACATGTATCTGTTAAATAACAGAGAAGATGTTAGCATGTCCCACGGTGACTTTCCAGGCCAGCCTGTAACCAGGAATTTTAAAGAGTCAGTGACTCTGATGGTCCCAAAGTCCTAAGTCCCTGAAAACAAAGCAAAGAGAGAAACTATCCATTTCAGGTAGTCTTTTCAGAGGCGCTCAACTCTGGCCTAACTCTGCTGCCATTGACGGAAGTTTACATACCAGGTCTATTCAACCAGAGTTCTCACCACAAAATGAGATATAATCCCAGAAGTTGGAGAGGGAAATGACTTGTAAGATCATTGTACCCGTTCCTTCTCCCACCAGTCAGTTCAGGATTATCTCAGACAGTCCTGTATATCTTCCAGTCTAGGTTTCAATATCTCAAACAATGGAGCTTCCACTTTCTTTGGAAGATTAAGTCTATAGCTCTCATCGTTCGGCGCTTGATCCAAAGTCCATCATAGTCAACGTAAAGACTCTCATTGACTTCAGTGGGCTATGGATCAAGCCCGAGGACTTTTATTTTTTCTGATATGCAGCCTAACTTTATTTTTGCACCCCACTGGTTATTCTAATTATACTGTGCCCATTCTAAAATATTCTGTCCCTTCTTGGCAATTATGCTCTTCAAATACTTCTAGACAATTACCTTGTTCCCTAACTGTTTGCTTGGAAAGAAATACATAATTGAACACGTGAAAAATTTCTCCTTACCTTCCTTTGATGTTGGTCAATAATCAATATAACAACGATAGTAAGTGCTATGGCAGCCAACGTCACCAGAATGCTGACTTCCCAGTGGCACCCAAAGGAATACAGCTGCATGGTGGAGTAAATATTTGCCCAGACTGAGATGTAGAAAATCTGAAAAGACCCAGAGAGACTCAGAAAACAATACTCACAAAAATCGCGAAAGCAGAAGAAAGGTCAAGAGAACAAGAAAGTTCCCTTCTCATAAATTAGATAAACTACCAGGGATTTTCTGAGAGTCAATGGACAAAAGGTCCTTCTAATAAGAATCATGGGGGGGAGAGAGGTCTAGAATGAGAGTTGGGATTGAATGAGCTTCTGATCATCAAAGACAGCAGATGAATTCTTGATGGTGTTTCATACTTAGGATTTCAACCAAGTTCCTACATTTTTAGTAAGAAACAGATTCCCCCGGGTGTATTGATAATAATACTTATAGTCACTGTGTTTATAAAGTTCCCACACCACGATGGGTACAGCCAAGACAGTTAAAATACAATAATGCAAAAACGATGTACAGTGGCACCTGCCTGAAGGGACCACTCTAGGGATTAATGAAGGCAATGAGTCGTATTCATTTGGGGATACCTTGGAGTGGTATCTTAAGACAGGACGTTGCCTGATGGGACGTATAGATTAGAGATGGACTGAAAGGTAGGTATGATACAGCATGGTACAATGTTATATGGGATAGATAGATAAATTAGACAGGTTAGATCAATAATACCAAACAGAAAAATATTAAAAATCTAAACACTGCAGCATTAGCGAAAATACAATGGCTGACATTAAAAAATACCTCTGACTATTCATGTGTTCATGAAAAGGGGCCTGAAAGATGGTGAAAATATAATTGAGTCCCATTTTAAGACTCCTCGGCCCTGCCAGAGAAGTGAGAAGACCTCAGGGTACATGAGAATGAGGTCCAGAGTGTTTTCAGATGATGTTGGAGAGCTGAGAAGGATGGGCTGAGGCAGATGCTTCCAGTAAATGAGTCCCATCCCCATTAAAGCCACCACAGCGAAAGCTTTGCTAGCTGGCAGCTTGTGGTGGGACTCCTGAAAAGTTGGCAGTGTGCATACCTGCCTCATTATACAGCAATCTCTGCAAGATGGGATTTTCAATGGGGCCTCAGGGAGTTAGGTGCTCCACTCCCACTGAAAGTCAATAGGGGTTGGACACTTAACTCCCATTTGTGCCTTTGAAAATTCAATCCCTTCTCTAAACTCCCATTGAAATGGCACCTAACTCCCTTAGGCTCCTGTGAAAATCCCCGAGGCAATTTTCATTGTACATCAGTAACGACACATACCAATTAACCTCAATGAGAGGCCATGATCCTTACCACAGCAATGGCTATCCCAAAAGCTCTGGAGTTGTAGAACATGTATCTTCTTACTTCAGGTTCCAGAATGGCATTTTGAATTAAATTCCTCCACTGATCCATTGTCATCTGTTCAGAAATCAAAAAACAAACAAATCCCACTCACTTTTTCATGCAGATCTCTAAGAACAATCAGAAGGAGAGTAGAATGGCAATCGCCAAGAGCCAGGCCAGCATTTCACATGATTAGATTATGAGACTGGAGATTCAATGGGATTGGCCTGTGTCCCAGACTCTGCCTCCAAACAAGGAACGTTGGCCCAAATTCTGATCTCATTTATATTGGTATAACAGAGAAAAATCTGGCCTAAAAAAAGCCTATTTGTGCCTCAATTTCCTCATTTGTAAATGATACCACCAACCTTTGTAAAGTGCTTTGAGATCCTCATGCTTTCTGTATAACTAAGGATACACCTACCTGCAGAGTTGCAGCAGTTGCAGAAATTTTACTGATGGGATCTTAAACCAATTTAGTTAAACCAGTGCAAAAGGCTGTCTGAACATTCATTATATTGGTTTAAATCAAACTTATTTCGGTTTAGCTGAAGTCAGTCAGGAACAGGTTTAAGCAAAACTGAAATAAGCCCCTCATAAACTGAAATAAGAGAGTCCACACAAGGGTTTGCACCATTTAACTAAAGTGTGTGTGTGTGTGTGTGTCATTGCCCTGATCATGCAGTCAGCCCCGCTTGCCCTGAAAGCAGTGAAACTCTTTCTGAGGCAGAATCACTGTATTGATATGAAACTGCAAAAGGACCCATCATGGGAGCTCATGTCAGACCAAGATCATATTTAAAGGTGAGAGTTTGCCATGCTGTGTCCATCACAGACACCTCCAGCTCTGCTCCATCCCTTTCTGTCTTCAGCACAATGAATGGTTTGTCTAATTGCTCACTGACCCTTGGCAAGCATGTTACTCAAGTCTCTCTCTCCACTAACAACGGGCCCATACTTGCTCCCATTTGAGCCACTGGGAGTTTGACCATTGACTTCAGTGGGAGCAAGATTGGATCTTTTAGTGCTAAGATCAGGTCTTTTAGTGAAACAGACTGGAGAATCATAGAATCGTAGGACTGGAAGAGACCTTGAGAGGTCATCTAGTCCAGTCCCCTGCACTCATGGCAGGTCTAAGTATTATCTAGACCATCCCTGACAGGTGTTTGTCTAACCTACTCTTAAAAATCTCCAATGATGGAGATTCCACAACTTTCCTAGGCAATTTATTCCTTGTTTAACTATCCTGATAGTTAGGAAGTTTTTCTTAATGTCCAGTCTAAACCTCCCTTGCTGCAGTTTAACACTTTAGCCTGTCTGGTCATTCAGTGACAGACCTGCGGGTG